CTGGGCCCTGTGGCTGGCCCCACGTCCTCGCGCCCTGGCCAAGCCCACCCAGGGCTGGGGCTTCATCCAGGCAGCCTCTTCTGCCTGGCTCCCCTCCCTAGGTTCCTTCTAAGGGTTTACCATAGGCCGTGTACTCCCACCAGAGTGAGGGAAGTGACAAGTCACCCCCCGGGTGGCCACTTCACAGTCCCTTCTCCTCCATTCTCCTCCTGGGATTTTGGGCACACACGCACACATACCTGGCATGAGTTTCAAGCTTCCGGGTCTGGGACTCAAACTGTGGCTGGCCATGTGGGAGTCCTGCTCCTTAACCACACCACCTACTGCCCCCATTTTCTTTTAAAAACATTTCAAAACCTTTACTCCTGGAGAACCAGCAGTTACCATAATGGCTATGTCGCTGGACTCCCACGTAGTCGACCGCGGTTCACGTCCCGGACCCGGTGGCTTAAAACTCACGTTGGGCGCGTGTGTACGTGCCCAAGATCCCGAGAGGAGAATGGAGGAGAAGGGATTGCGGCGTGGCCATCTCCCCTGGGGGGTGATTTCTCACTTTCTGTCTCTGTCTCTCTCTGTCTGTGTGGCGAGCGCACGCGCCCTATAGCGAAAAACCTCTCAAAAATAAAAACAAAAAACAAAACAAAAAAACCACCTTTACTCCTGTGCTTGAAGTTCAGACTCCAGTTTGCAATTTGGGGATACCAAACTGGCATGCCTGTGCGGCTCACAGCCTTGACTGAGGGCCTGTCTGCTCTGTCACAGGAGGGTGTGCAGAAGGGCCTCTCTCCCGAGGGCACGCTGTAGCCCAGGGCGGGCACACTCACGCGGCTTCTGTGCTGAGCCAACTCCACGAGTTCTAGGCTCCGTCTGCGGGCCGCATGGCATGATGCTGCTGTGCTTCCCTTGTTGGCCGGCCAGGTTACAGGGGGGAGGCCGGGTTACAGGGAGGAGGCCGGGTTACAGGGGGAGGCCAGGTTACAGGGACTGGCCGGGTTACAGGGGTGCTGGCCGGGTTATGGGGCAGGTGGCTGCTTAACGGGGGCCGGCTGGGTTACAGGGCAGGTGGCTGGGTTACGGGTGGCGATTCCACAGCACCTGTTCGCCGTCTCTCTGCGGTCGGCACTGGGCAGGTGCTGGGAAGACCCAGCAGGTCACACATGGGGCCGGCATGTGCGTTGGTAGCGGGTCTAATGCGGAAAGAGGACCACGACACTGAGTGGGTTAGTCGGCTGTG